GCTGCTCCATGAAAGAAGGGTGGGCAAGCTCTTCCTGTGGAATTTATTGCCTCTGAAAACTCATTGGAGGGTCAGCTGTGGGTCAGTTCTGACTTGATAGGACACAACAAGGTAGAAAGTTCTGTGTAGGGTGGAAAACATTGCTAGAGAGTGGGAGAAGAGGCCTTCTTACCATTATGGTTTCAGAATTACATGATGTTTTGAAATTAGGTCAGACACTGTGCCAGGATGCTCACATGTGACTCATTTCATGCTTTTATCAGTGCTTCAGAGTAGGATAGTTAGTCCATTCCAGAAAAGGAAAAGAAAGTTCATCAAAGAAATAGACAAGCTGGATTATGACATTCAATATGTAACTCAGTCAGTGGGTAACTGCACTGTCAAGCCAAAAGCTGCACCTCTCTAGTGGTTCGTATTCACCAATCACTATCTGGGAAAAAGATAGTCTACCTCCGTCTGTAAGATACACAACTTCAATCCCATTGGAGGATCAGTTATGAGTTATATTCAACTCAATGGCAAAGAGAATAATAAAATCTTTTTTTATGATTGGAGTGGCACATAGAAAGGGTATAGCAAAATACTGTGGAGGTTCTCCGCCCATTTTTATGTTGTTGTTGTTGATTGCCTTTGAGTCAAGCATGATTCAGCAACCCTATGAACAAAAGGACTGAAGCCCCTCTACAACTTTGGACATTTATCAGAGTTCATAGAGTTTTCAGAGGCATATTATTCAGGAAGTGGATGCCACACCTGCTTCCAAACTTGTCATAGTATGTTATGTGCCATTTAATTGCTTGAGATGTTTAGCAACCTTATGTACAGCAGCGCTGAACCCTTCCCTGTCCTGAACCAGTCTCACTAATTCCAATACACCAAACCCCGTCACCCCAGTTACTATATCAATCCATCTTTCTCACCTGCATTGTCCGTCCACCCTTCTGAACATGACGTCTTTCTCCAAGGACTGATCTCTCCTAGACATGTGCCCAAATTAAGTGAGGTGGGGCTTCAAAATCCTAGCCACAAAGGAGAGACTTGCTTTCACCCTCTCCAAGACAGATCTATTTGTTTTCTTGGCAGTCCATGGTATGTTCAAGACTCTCCTGCACCATAATTCAAAGGCATCAGTTCCTCTGTCATCCTTAGTCTGTGTCCAACTCTCTGAAGCATAACAAGTAATTGAGAATACCATGGCCTGGATTAGGTGCATCTTTGTATCTAGACTGATATCGTTGATCTTCAGCACTCTGAAGAGGTCCATGATAGCAGATTATGCAGTATGTCTTTTGATTTTCTGACTGCTGGTGCCAAGATTGTTGATTGTGGATCTGAGCAAGCTGTAATTGTTAACAACCTCAATCTCTTCTCCATCAATTATGGTGCTGCCAATTGGCCCAGTGGTGAGAATCTTTGTCTTCTTGATGTTGAGTTTCAACTCATATTGGAGACTATAGTCTTTGATCTTTTGCAACAAATGTTTCAGGTCTTCTTCAGTTTCAGCAAGCAAGGATGTGTCGTCTGTATATCATAGGTTGTTAATGAGTCTTCCTCCAATCTTGAAACCACACACCTCCTCATAAAGCTCTGCTTCCCGAATGATCTGTTCTGCATACAGATTGAAAAGGTACAGGGACAGGATGCATCCCTGACACACTCCTTTCTTAATTTTGAACCATGCAGTGCTTTCTTGCTCTGTTCTAAGGATTGCTTCTTGGCCCAATTATAGGTTAAAGTGTTGAGATTCTCATTTTTATTGACTTGGGAAATAAAACACCAGTAGTCTAAATATAAGTCTTGAGGATTTTATACCTCTTTTTTTACTTTGATAAGTTGGTAGTCCAAATATCTCATCATCAGAAGGGGTTCACTCTGTGATTATAATCAGAAAGTCCAGTCAAAAATGAAATGGAAGGCTGAAATCAAGACCTAGAATTGAATAATATAGCTATAAAGCTTTCATTCCAGAGCTTAAGGACCAATATTCAACAATATTTTATGAACCAAAGCAGGGTTTCAGATGGACAAAAAAGTTTGCTATACACCAGCAAGGCAGAGTGGCAGGCACTTTTGTGGCTGACACACTGCACAACCTTTGAGACCCTTGCTCCTATCAACACCTAGGTGCTTTCCCTCGCACCCCTTCAGCACAGGGCGTGCTCTTTGCTTATACCATAATACTTACTTAGGTAGATAGAAACAAAAAAATATATCACTAAAAACAAAATCTCAGTATATAATGGAGAGAGATGTATGTACAAAGGACAGCTAAGAGTAGAGGGAGGAAGATCAGTTAGTGTATTGTTTCAGAATGGACCCATAGCCTACTTTACCAACTATGCCCAAATCTATTCATTCATTTGATCACCACAAAAAATGCCATGAATGACAGTTATTATCCCCATTTTCCAAACGTGAAAATAGAAGTTCAAAGACAGGGGCGTGACTTTTCTGACATTCCTAGCTCTTAGGTGGGAAGCCATATTCCTAGGTCTGACTCAATGTCCAGGTCTTCCCTCCTTGCCCTCTCATAAGCATATTCCAAATGCCATGCAAGAGGCACTAAGAGAAGCCCAGGGAGCCAGTGCCAGGAGGAGAGCAAGAGAAATCCACATTATGAGGGAAGGAGGTAAAGAAACCGTAGGATGGTGCAAGGTACAGAGGTGATAAGAAGGAGAATATAAGGTGGATATGTGACATAAAATGGCTCACTGCACTTTTAGACAGATCAAAAATAAGGTCCAATTATTTCTTCACTAGAATTTGGCATTTCCAGTGTTAATGATTTATGGCTTCAATATAAACTTTATTGTAACTAAGTTGGGATGGATATCTTTCCATAACTAATTACGGGTTTGTCTCTCTTCTGAAAAAAGGCAAAAGTAATAAAATGAAGTCTCGTCTTGGGGATTCTTGGTTGCTACTTCTTCCTCTGAACTAGAATATACATTTTAGAAGACTCAATTTAAAGAACTGCTTGGCACCACACCCCATTCAGATCGCAGTGATTCTTCAATCTTTAAAGATCTGTGGTAGGTATTTTTCCTTATCTTTCTTTGTTGTGTTGTTCTGTTTTGCTTTGTTTTGTTTTGTTTTGGGTCTTTCATCTTCTCAAGTCAACAAATTCAACTTTTTTTTTCTTTGGTCTTTTTTCTTTTCAAGTCAACAAATTCAACAAAGTCAGCTTCTTTTCTATGACAATTTTGTCTCCCAATTTGCTGCTCCTGATCTCATTATGTCTTTGTAGGTAAACAGGTATATTATTATTGTTGTTGTGTTGTTGTTATGTGCCTTCAAATTGCTTGCGACTCATAGTGACCCTATGTACAAGAGCCCTAAACCCTAACTCTACCCTGTGCCAACCTGTCTTTGACACGTCTACACCCATTAGTCCAATCACTGAATCGATCCATCTCACTGGGGATCTTCCTCTCCTGCACTGTCCCTCCACTCTCCCAAACATGATGTCCCTCTCCAAAGAATGGTCCCTCCTTGCAACATGCCCAAAGTACATCAGACAAAGCTTCAGAATCCTTACCTCCAAAGAGCAGCCCAGTTCCACCCTCTCCAGGACAAACCTGTTCGTTCTCCTAGCAGTCCATGGTATATTCAATACTCTTCTCCAACACCACAGCTCAAAGGCATCAATTCTCTTTCTGTCATCCCTAGTCACTGTCCAGCTCTCCAATGCATAACACACAATTGCGAAGACTATGGCCCAGATCAGATGCACCTTAGTCTCTAGCCTGATGTCGTTGCTCTTCAGTACTCTGGAGAGGTCCCTGACAGCTGACTTTCCCAATGCAATTCATCTCTTGATTTCCTGGCTGCTGGTACCAAGAGTGTTGACCTGTGGAGTCAAGCAAACTAAAACTGTTAACTATTAGTACTATAGATACAATTAATCAGATTTCAAGTAAAGGATTATAGGGGCTCAGGAAACCATACAACAACTGTGCTGAAGACTGAGGCCATTCCCGGATCTGAGTCCTTTCTGTTCAGTCACAGTTTACTTGTGACCCTCAGAACCTCCTTAGCAGTTTCTCTCAGGAAAGCTCCCACAAATCCAGCTGCAGAAGTCACCTCTCCTTCCTCTGAACTTCTAAACCACCAAATACGACATTGAAGGGGCCACCACTATCTACCTTGGAATTGTGGTCAATATGTTTGTTCTTTCCACCACAGGGGTAATTGAACAATGGGATTTGCATTTTAAGTGTCTTGATGTCTGCTTCCCAACTAGGGCTTTGCCCATAAAAAAAAATGCTATCCTCAAAGGGATTTAATTCTTAGTGGAGGAGGATGAAGGAAGAGAGAGATGAAAATAAGGAGGAAAGTATCCCAAGCATGGGCTATTTCTGGGATTTCCTGGGTCCCTCACTAGATTCTCTCTAGTGAATGCCAACAAAGGGCGCCAGCTGTCACCACTTGTAGGCCCAAGCAGCTGAATGTTGGCACCCAAATCAGTCCCCCACCATGCCCACCAGAAAGGACAGCAGGGACCAGGGGGCCCCCCTGCCTGGAAGAGCGTGAGAGGAGGGAGCAGCCCCAGCTGGCAGGAGACAATTCACTCCTGTCGCTGTGGTCTCTCCCTTTCCTGCCTCCTGGCATCCTGGCTCCTAAGTAGGGAGGTTGTCCTGGGGTGAACCCATCAGAGGCCCTCCCGCTTTCAGACAGGTGAATACTCAAATAAGCGAATGCTTTCTTTTTAAAGACTTTGTTTCAAAATAAGGTCTTAGAACCTTCACTGTTCCTCTCATTTTCTGGCTTACTAATGCCAGTAGAAGGAAACTTAAGACCAGTTTGAAACCAACAAAATCAAAGTAAACAACATATACAGCCAATACATGCCCTATATCCATCTGTTTTGGCACATCCCACAAACCGTCTAAGTTTGTTGCTGAATGCTCTTCTATCACTCGTAAGACGGTGGTTCTGACTTCTCAGAGCATCTTTGTAACAAGGCCAGCATGGTTCAAGCAAACAGTATTTGCACTTACACCTCTTGTTGCTTTGACTGATGACGGCAGTGAAGGATGCTATAGAACATCTTTGCTGTTCCAGCTGCTCCACCGCCTACTTCTTCATATTCCAGCAACAGTGCCATACTTTTCCTTGAGGGAACCACCCTGCCCATTATCCATTCATGTATTATGAGGCATCAACCACATACAAGTCCACTGTAGCACTGGAGAAGCTCGTGTTTGCTGACTAACAGACAGAACCACACTGGCCCCAGATCTGATCTAGAGATGGGCACAGGCCCATAATGAACAATAAGAGTTGTTTGTGGGAATTTTTTCAAGCTTATTTTGGGAGGAAAGCCACCTTTTAATTAAAGTTGTTAAGCTAGTAGGATAAAAAGTCGTAGTTTTAGGAGACATCAAGGAAAAGAAACGCCTGCTAAAGAAGTCAACACCAAGGACAATACAGCGAACAGAAGAGAAGGAACACACCGCTCATTTTCTTGCTTGATATTTGTCATTATTCCTGAACATTTCAGCTGCCATTATTCCCGAACATTTCAGCTATGTCTTGATTTTTCATTTACTCCTCTTTGAATTCTATTTCTGTTGGTTTGCAATAAATACTGGGTGGAAAATCTCTCTAAGGTTTTAAAGTTTGCAAATTACCTTTATATGTATTATTGCATTTGAGAAAACAAGTTGCCATTGAGTCCATTCTGACTCATGGTGACCCAAAGTGTGTCAAAATAGAACGGTTTTCCATAGACCTTTCAAGAACTGTTTCATTTCTAGAAGACAGATTCAAGATGTGTCTACTAAGATGCTTTAGTAGCTAAAGAGACCCACGGACTCCTTATTTAAAGCACTTCTATGAAATTAAGGAGGCCTTAACACACTTGCTGCAGGTCAAAGACTGTAGCCTTCAATACAGATTGCAACTCAACCTCAAGAAGACAAAAGTAAAAAAAAAAAAAGAAGACAAAAATCCTCATCACTGGATTCATAAGAAACATTATGACAGGTGGAGAAAAGATTGAAATTTTAAGTTATTTCACCTTGCTTTAGTCCACAAGCAATACTTTTGATACCAGCAGTCAAGAAATCAGGAAACATATTGTACTGGAAAAATCTACTTTAAGGGAATTCTCTGAATTACTAAAGGAGCAATGATTTTTTGAAAAATCATTTTGACTTTTCAGTTTGAAGACCAAGGTGTGCTTGATCCAGGCCATGGTCTTCTCAATCACTTGCTATGCATTTAAGAGCTGGGCAATGAATAAGAATGACAAAAGAAGAACTGATGCCTTTGATCTGTGGTGCTGGAGAAGAGTACTGACTATCCCTTGGGCTGCCAAGAAAACAAACATCTATGTCTTGGGAAAAGTGTGACCAGAATGTTTCCTGAAGACAAGAATAGTGAAGCTTCATCTCACATACTCTGAGCATGTTGTGAGGAGGGAGAGGCTATCCTTGGAAAGGGACATCAGGCTAGGAAAGATGGAAGGTGAGTAAAAGAGAAGATGCGCAATGAGACAGATTCATACCATGGGTTTCACTATGTCAGAGATGATGAAGATGGCACAAGACAGGACAGAGTTCAGATCTGTTGTTCATTGAGTCACCATGAGTCATACTCAACTCAGTGGCACCTATCAAAAACAATAATTTCTAAACGTTAGTCATTATTATGTCCCACATTTTAAAATAATGAAAAAAAAATGGAAGCTAACTAATTTACTCAAGATCTAGTAACTAATAGGTACCAGAGTAAGAACTTGAATTTTGAATGTTTATTCTAAATCGTATGGCACATCACTCATTTCAGGAAATTTGCGATCATGTATAGGAGACAAGCTGAGCCTACGTACAAGGTAAAGCAAAACAAAATCAGACAGCCCTTGTGGTGGTGAAATATAGCTAACTAGGCACCATTTGTTTGTTAATAAAGTTGATATTTCGTAGAGGAAATTATTTGTGTTATCAGAAATAAAAGAGCATTGACGTTTGGCCAGCATTAGAAGTTCAAGCTGCTTTGAAAGAAATAGCAAAAAATAAGGCCCAGGAATAGATGGTATACCAATTGACATATTTCAGCTAACAGATGCTGCCCTGGACATGCTCACCAAGTTGTGTCAAGAAATCTGGAGAAGAGATCTATATTTGTTTCCATTCCAAAGAAAGATGACCCAACAGAGTGTGGAAACTATAGAAAAATATCATTGATTTCACATGCAAGCAAGATTCTGCTGAAGATTATCCAAAAATGACTGGAACAGCACACAAGCAGAGAACTGCCAGAAGTCCAGGCTGGGTTTAGAAGGGGCCATGGTACTAGGGATATTGTAGCTAATTGATGGATATTGGCTGAAAGCAGGGATTATCAGAGCAATGTCTATCTGTACTTAATTGATTATGCAAAGGCTTTTGACTGTGTGGATCATAACAAACTGTGGCTGACTCTGAGAAGAATAGGAATCTCAGAGCACTTGATCATGCTAATGTGAAACTTATACTTGAACCAAGAGGCAGTCATCAGAACAGAGCAAGGAAACATTGCATGGTGCAAAATTGGGAATGGCGTACACCAGGGATGTGTCATATCTCCATACCTTTTCAACCTGTATGCAGAACAGATCATCTGGGAGGCTAGGCCCTATGAGGAGAAATGTGGCATCAAGATTGGTGGAAGATGCATAAACAATCTGCGTTATGCAGATGACACAACCCTGCTTGCTGAAACTGAGGAGGACCTGAAGTGCTTGCTGCTGAGGGTCAGGGACTGCAGCCTTCAATATGGATTGAGGCTCAATGTAAAGAAGACAAAGATTCTCACCACTGGACCAATTGGCAACATCAGGATGGATGGTGAAGAGAATGAGAATGTTCACAGCTTTAGTTTGCTTGGCTCCACAATCAACACTCTTGGCACCAGCAGCCAGGAAATTAAAAGACGTATTGCCATAGGCAAGTCTGCTGTTAGGGACCTCTCTAAAGTCCTCAAGAGCAACGGTGTGTCTCTGGAGACAAAGGTGCATCTGGTACAGGCCATGGTCTTTGCAATCACTTGTTATGCATCAGAGAGCTGGACAATGACCAAGGAGGATAGAAGGAGAATTGATGCTTTTGAGCTTTGGTGTTGGAGAAGAGTGTTGAAGGTGCCATGGACTGCTAAGAGAACAAACAGATTCATCCTGGAGAGGGTTAAACCGGGCTGCTCATTGGAGGCAAGGATTCTGAAGCTTCATCTGCCATACTTTGGACATGTTGTAAGGAGAGACCGGTCCTTGGAGAAGGACATCATGCTTGGGAGGGTGGAGGGCAGGCGCAGGAGGGGAAGGCTCTCTGGGAGATGGATTGATTAGGTGACTGGGGCAATCAGGATGAGTGTGTTGGAGGCAATGAGATTGGCACAGGACAGAACAGAGTTTAGAGCTGTTGTACATAGGGTCGCTATGAGTCGCAAGCAACTCGATGGCACATAACAACAACAACAAGAGCAGGAAGAGAAGAGTTGGAGGAGTTTGTGTAACATGTTGGACTATTAACAAAGATTAGGATCTCAAATCCATCAGCCACTCTTCTTCTGAAGAAAGATAGGCTGTCTCCTCCCTTAAAGATTTATAGATTATTATTTTTTTTAATCTAATGGGGTTTGCTATCAGTCACACTCAGTTTGATGGCCATGGGTTTTTTGAGTGTGGTGCAGCAGATTGGTTGATTATTCAGAATGTTTTTCCTGAGCCATTTGCTTTGGCTTTCCCTATTTGGTTGGGTGGGACTATGCTAATTATGTGAATGAGGTAAAGAGCACCTTTTGAGTGGGGGCATGCAAACAAGGGCCGCAGACTATTAATGATGAGATTGATCAGTCTTGTCATTCCACCAGGCATAAACTAGGCAGATTTAGAGACAGAAAATGGGAAATTTGTTACCAGCAAGAAAGAAGCAACAGAGACGGCATTGCATGTCCATTTGGACCAGAGATATTCATCCAGAGCCCAAGACCATGGCAGGAACAGCAAGGCTGGAAGAGAACTAAAGACCAGCTTAAGACAAAGCTGAACTGAAATTTCTGCCACAAGAAGTTAGTGCCAAGAGTGTTAACCTAATTTTACTGGAGGGCTGAGAGAAAGATGCCATAATTGGTAAGATTAAGAGAACAACTTCCCCAGAGCTGAAAGACTGAAGGTAAGGGGCTCTGTGAGATACATGAAAAGTTGTCTTGATTACATAATTATAACGTGAATTGTAACCTGTTAACTTTCCTAATAGCTCCGGTTGTGCTGCAATCCCAAAAGTAATCCCAGAGTCACTAGCTAGCTACCCCACACGAGAAGGATGGTCAATCTCCTCCCATGCAATTTACTGCCTCTGAAAATGTGCTGGAGGGTTAGTTATGGGTCAGTTCCACTTCGATGGCACACAACAATGACCACCCTAACAAGTTCATAATTTTGATTATGATTTATGAGTTCTGTTGTGGCTGTTGCAATGGATTAACAAACCCAGCAGAAGAGCAGTAGGAGTCTGGGAGACACAATTACTGTCAGACTTGTTATAAGTTATAGGAATATGAGAGGATGTCTGAGCTCATAGAAATTGGTTTTGTGTGGTGGATGCTTTGGTTGAGAACTCTTCCCCCTTGTGGATTTAGTAGAGATCAGATGTGACCTCCTCCATACTGGTTCTACTGTTTTCACATTCAAGATTGGTTGAATCTTCCCAGAAAATTTTAAGATGTTTTGGGGTGTCTGTTGGACCTCTGGTGGCAAAGCAGATTACATTTTGGGTTGTTTACCTTAAGATAGGAAGTTCAAATCCACAAATCACTCCACAGAGGAAAGACAGAGCAGATTGCTTCTACAAAGATTTACAGTCTTGGAAATCCTACAGGGCCATTCTACTCTGCCGTACTCACTATGAGTTGGAATTAATTCTATAGCAGCAAATTTTGGGTTGAGGGTAAGATCTATAAAAGTCTTCCAAACTGCTCCCCTCTAAAATATTAAATAAAGAGGAGGAAAAAGAACTGGTAAGAGAAGAGAAAAGTTTCATTATTATTTGTTATGTATTGATTACGTACGGTCAGTCTTGTAATCATCACTTCTACACATCATCATTAACGTTCACAACCACAGTA